TGTTGGAGCTGTCGGAACAAGCGTTGAAGTCCAACAAATTCCTTTGTTTAGGCAAACATCGGCCACCGAGACTTTCTTTGGTTCGGTTAGGCTCGACGAACGACACATAAATATTCATGTGCATTCTATGACGCATGAATACATGGTGTGATCTCTCTTTGTGACTGACATAACATTTAGATAGACCTAATTTTTGTATGTATTACAAGTTGTGGTTCATGAATCTCGAGGAGATTTTTGGGTGTCGACAAATATAACAAAAACACTCGATAGAAGACAATAATAAATATATCATATTATTACACGTTGCGAAATAATATATCCTTTTTCTCTAGTATGGAAAAGGTGGTGATTGACTTGGGACCCTATGGCCCCTGATTAAAAGCAAAAGCTAAGTGTATGATTATAACATTTTTTTTTGGCATGATTCGATAATTTCGTAACTTATGGAATTTCATATTGGAACGATACAATGACCTAGTGAGACATACTAACCTAAGTGTTAGCGTCACATTCACATGGTCCACTATATCGCTACTCTATGAATGGAAGTGTCAATCTTTTACAAGTGTACGAGTTTTAGCCCCTGTTTGAGCATATTATTTTTTTTATTCTTATTTTTCTACTCATTTTGAACTATACGTTTTTCAATAAAATGATATTTCCATCATATCAATAACCTTTTCTTCTTTTTCAACCACATATTCTCCATCACATCAAACAAAAAAATGTATTCTTGAACTCAAGATGTGCACCAAATAGGGGCTTAAGTTTGGTTGGGTATGATTTTTTGGAAAAGTTAATAATTATTTTTAAACATATTTGAATAATTTTTTGAAAGTGTTTTGTTTTACTATAAGAGTTTAACTGAAAAAATTCATGGAAAATGACATTTTTCGTTCCAAATTCCAACTTTGACAGTGTTTGATTGCCATTTTTTCTATAAAAATTATTTTTCGACGTTTGAAAACATATCTAATTTTCCTTATTTTTAGGGAAAAACTTTCTTGGGAGTGAGGGGAGAGGGTAGGGGTAGGTTTTTATTTTCTTTTCTATGAGGCATTTTTTATGCTAATCAAACACATCCTAAATATTTTTAGAAAAAAAATGGCATAAAGTAAAAGCAGAAATCCTGAAACAAACGGGCCCTTAAATTGAATCGTCGTATCATTATTCTTCAAAATTTAGTTATCGACAAGGGTTATAAATTGGTTGAATGCTTGATTCTTACGGAATATTCCAGTGTTACTTTATTCATTGAGTCGAATTCACATAATTATAGTCTTATCGAGATTGGGAATGTATTCAATTTTTTTTTTTAAATTTCTTGTTAGTGACAAATTATTACTCTTATTATTATGTCTCTTTAATTCCAGCATCGACGTGGCCTATTAGTGGGTAATGCTACATGTACACACACACTTTTACACAATCTTTTACACCTTTCTCACATGGAGAGGGGTCCACAATTATTTTATTATGTGTGGGCCTCCTTCCATGTGAGAGAGGTGTAAAAAATTGTGTACACTTAGCATTATTCCCTATTAGTTTACAACTTGACATCAAGAATTTGAATAATCTTGTATAGTCAACTTGCATGCTTTTGATTAATTAACTAGATGTTAAATAACTTTCATAATTACTGATTATCGATTAAAGCGTAGACAAATACGTGTATAAGTTCTAACATTCGTGTCAACTTTTGTTTAGTAAACTTAATTAGGTAACTATACATCGTACGTGTCGATGACCCTTGTAACACGAGTAGCGTAGCTAGTTACCTTAACGTTTTAGCCACCATTAGACAAGAAACAGAAATAAACTTTATTTATTGACATGAAACCTTGATTCTATTATTATTGTTGTTGTTGTTGTTGTTGTTGTTGTTTATGATGATGAATATACTGAACTAAACAATATAGAAATGAATTAAGAAGAGGAACATCAATTGTTTGGTTTAGTCTTATTTGATTCAACATAATATGCATTTCATGTTAACTTTTGTGAGAAATGTTCTCTTACTCACAGTGAAAAATCTTATCTTACTGGGAGAGAATTTTACTTACAATAACCTTATTTATAGTTGTCACATTTAGAAAGAACCGTAAGTAAGATTATCCTACCATATCAACAAGTGCGTGATTTTATCTTACCCAATGTGGGCAGAAGAACAATTTTGTAACTTTTGCTTATTATACGTGAATTTCTTGTTTTCCAATATTAGTTTCTTACATTTTATTTTAAACATTTTTAAACCTAACTTTAATTATGCTTTAAAAAAAAGTCCATTCTAAATATTACTCTCGATGAATTAGAGATTCAAAAAAAGTATTCAAAATTGGGAATAATCAATGGGTATTCGTAAAAAAAGTATGTTATCCTCCAAATTCGAAGAGATCCGACTATCAAGAAATCTCAAATGACATGTATGTTATCATTTCAATTGGACGTCTCATTAGACTACATAGACCGTAACTCCAATGGGGTGCAATGATCATGTACACTTCGACACACAAATCAGATGAAGGAGATATATATGAGCATGGAAGAGACACAATGGACGAAATTATGGGTGTCTTGAGTTATAAATAAACTTACACCAAGTTGCTATAACTTATCTTTGATGGAGAGAAAAGAGTATAGAGATGGAAGCAAAACGTAAAACACATGTCCTTTAAACTTAAGCATAGGCAAATAGTGTCACCTAATAATAAGACAAAAATAATTTAATCCAAACTATTGATTCATACATATACGCTAACAACTTTTGTTGAATTTTAGTACACACAACAATCATAATCAAGATAGTGTAAATCTGACAGTTGGAATACGTGACGATATTTTTTACATTGAAAATTTGACGATCCCATGTACGTGGTCCAAATGCTAAATAATTGCCCTTTCAAAAGTCAATAGCTTGTCCCAAATGTTTGTTTTAGGTATTATTAAATTATTTCTCACCAGCCAGCAGCAATTTATGATGGAGGAAGAAAATATTTTTCTTGATATGATTCTCACCTTATAACCCAAGTAGGAAAATAAAATATTTTAAGATAATATAAACTAGCACATGACTACTACGATACAGTGAGATTTGCTCAAAAAATTAAATTATATCTAATAATAATATAAATCGAACTTCTAGAATGACTCATTTTGGCATATAAGAAGAATATAAAACATAATTGAATCTTTTCACGACGTATCATAACATAATAATAGTATTAATTAATCTTTTGCAACTATAGTCAATCACATTAATTTCTTGTCTACGTTTAGGGGTGGCAAAAAAGGGTTGAGTCGTTCTCCAGCTCGACTTGATTCATCAGCGATTTGGGCTCGTTCTTGGATAACTCGTGGATTGACTAAACACCTTTTTTCATAAGTCGGCTAGTCGGCATGTTTTGGACTCGTGGGCTTGTGGACTGCTTGGTTTAGCCCATGAAGCAAATCATTGAATCGAGTCTAGTTTGTGCATACAAGTCGAACTCGGGTTCAATACGAGAGTTTTAATTCAACTCGACCTATCATCTCTCCTAGTTTATGACAACGTCAAGTGTCCCACCAATAGGGGGGCTCCGAGTGTCCATTATGGACACCCCTATGGGTACACTTATATTTTCCATTTATGAATATGAGAGTTTTAATTCTTACATAGAATAAATCACAATTTCACATATTGTCGGTTACTTCACTTATTGACGTCTCATGCCTATTCTGTAGAGGAGGCGAATAGGTAAGCAACAATTATGTATAGGAATGTTAGTTCGACTCTTTCGGTCTAACATTTAACACAAGTGTTGCGGGTGCCATAATCTATGTTTGAATTAGGCAACTATTTTGAACAAAATTATTTTTAACAACATACGATATGCTGACGTAGAGTCCACGTTTTGGCCAAATCGTATCATTTTGTATTCGGGACCAAGTCAATTTACGTGGCGGCAGATCATTTAATTCGTAGGTGGCTGCCAATTCTGGACGGTTGACCTTTTGGCGCGTAAAAGAATGTGAAACAAATGCGGTATTAGTCAGCGACGTTGCACAACAAGCTTATTTGCATCCATGACGTGATGGAAAATTACTTCAAAGAAATTAATGAAATAATCTTAATATTTAAATATAGATATGGTTTTTTGTATTGAAAAAAAAATATTTTTTTATAGTTTAAGTGAGATAAGATAATTCATTTTTGTAATTTAATTAAATTTAACTCCTTATTATAAAATAATACGTCCCCCTTTTTGTGACAAAGCTTAATTACAATACTTTAATCCAAGATTGCCCATATTACATCACTCTTTACCAAATACGAAAAAAATATTAAGATTATTAAAATATATTTACTTTCTTAAAGTCTCAATTAAGGAAACAAGAACCCTAAAAAGACTCCTCTATCGCTCACTCAAAACTCGATTAGTAAACGTATAAGCATTTAGTCATCATTAGTCCTAATATGGATTTTAAGCGGGACAAATCGCTCATTATTCTCCTCGTCCCACAAATAAACTGAACAATGAAAAACTCGTGTGAGCTGCTAGTTGTCTTATGAACCGACTTGCCTAGCTATACATGCATGGTTGCAAGAAGCCGCGCAAATTGTATTTGAAGTGAACCGAGTCAAAATTTTGCGAAGCGGGCCATCTCACATTTGGTTCGATTCATTTAACACCCCTAAGTTCAAACTGACGTGCAATACTGTAATTGAAATAGTTAACTTTAGTGAGTAGGTTAGAAGTTTTTGCATGACAGTCCTACTTATTTTAATTATCTTAAGCACAAATTAACCCTGAAAATAATCCTCCAAAAATAATTTTTAATATTCAAATTATACTCGTAAGCTTCACGTATCATTCTTCCACGTGTCCCTCAATTATACCCATGGTTAGGCCACCGGCGGCATCCTGTCCTTTATATAAACCCTTCTCTACCATTTCTCACCCTTAGATTTTCCCTCTATTCTCTCATTCTTATTCAAAGAATTATCAAAAAAATTTGCAATGACAAACAAAAATTTCAACGGTGGAGCATTATTCCCGGAGAAAAACAATATCCGTCGCCGGAAATTCGGAGCCCTTCTGTACTCCGATCCAGAAGACGATAATGATTTCTCTTCACCTCGAAACAGCACCGTTTCCGCAGGCACCGCCTCCATGTCGTCCGCTCCAACGACCAGCGCCACTTCTTCTCCATACATGTCTCCATGGAATCAACCCTCTCCTTACACAAAATCTCCATGGATAGGGACTGTACATCTCCTTGAAGACGATGATTATCAATACACAAACTTGCACAAACACGGCCTTATCGGATCCCTAGTACGAGAAGAAGGTCATATCTATTCGTTAGCAGCCTCCGGGGACTTGCTGTACACAGGATCAGATAGCAAAAATATTCGGGTCTGGAAGAACTTGAAGGACTTCTCGGGTTTTAAAACAAACAGTGGATTAGTCAAAGCCATTGTTGTGTTGGGCGATAAGATTTTCACCGGCCATCAAGATGGAAAAATCCGCGTTTGGAGATTTTTAGGAAATAAGAGAAAAGCGTATAAGCGTATTGGAAACTTGCCGACCACCGGAGATTATTTGAAGAAATCTATGAATCCAAAAAACTACGTTGAAGTACGAAGACGTCGGAATGTTCCATGGATTAAGCATTTCGATGCAGTCTCCAGTATGAGTGTGGATGTTGAACAAGGGTTCTTGTATTCAGGTTCTTGGGATAAAACCCTAAAAGTATGGAGAATTTCTGATTCGAAATGCTTGGAATCCATTACAGTCCATGATGATGCAGTTAACTCGGTGGTGGCGGCTTTTGATGGGCTAGTTTTCACCGGCTCTGCCGATGGAACGGTGAAGGCGTGGAGGAGGGAGCTGGTGGATAGGAATATAAAACATGTGCTGGTGGAGACGTTATTGAAGCAAGAAAATGCAATAACTTCGCTAGCAGTGAGCGCCAGGGCGGGGGTGCTGTACGCAGGGTCCTCCGATGGACTGGTGAATTTCTGGGAGAGGGAAAAGCACTTCATGTCGTACGGCGGCGTGCTGAGGGGCCACAAACTGGCGGTGCTCTGTTTGGCAGTGGGTGAGAACTTGGTGTTGAGCGGGTCCGCCGATAAAAGCATTTGCGCGTGGCGATGGGAAGAGGGTGGCGTCCACACCTGCGTCTCCGTGCTGACTGGGCACACTGGGCCGATAAAGTGCTTGGCGGTGGAGAAGGACCACCAGGAGGAGGACGCGCAGAAGGGGGACCAGCATTTGATAGTGTACAGTGGAAGCTTGGACAAGTCTGTAAAGGTTTGGAGAATTTCAGAGCACGCGTCAAGCTTGAAGGAATTACAAGAAACGTGAAGAACAGGCGCCGCCTCGTTGGGTACTGATTAATTTGTGAAGTAGGCAAGACGAAACGAACAGACGACGATGCGGACGGTTGTTAATGTGAGGCGTGCAAATCAGATGAGATGATCAAGACCGTTCAGCCGTCCAACTAAAATTATGTGGGACCGGATCAGCACTTGTGACAATGGATCGTTAGATCGACAGGACTTGGACAGTATGGCAAATTGATCTAAGAAAATGAGCCAAAAATTTAGGCAGGGAAAAAATTGAGTAAAGCGACTTTACCCGAAAATGGTTGATATCTTGGGTGATCGACCCTCACATTGCTCGTGGATCCCGCGTGAATAAAATAATAGGTGATCCTTGAAGTGTGTGCGTTCGGTCATTCAACGTGTCAACTGAGATATTTGTGTAACACCTTTCGAAAAAAGTTGTATATGTTGTGAATTTTCCTTATTTTTTGGTTTGTACAATTTATTGTACTTGAAAAGCGCACAAATTTTGGATTGAAGGTTGACTATAATTTAGTGTATCCAAAAGATTTTTATTTTCTTCTCTATTTTGTTAAATCTTGCATTTTAGAATAATATAGCACAAAGATGTTAAATTGGGCAAAGCTGACTAGCGTTCGTCGGTGGATGAGCCGAGCACTAGTTGATTTGCCTCGAGAAAATGGCTCGACTTGCTCATCTCATTTTTTTAGTCGTAAAATTGCAATTTGTTGTTAAAAAGTACGCTTCCGAGCTTGCTGGGTTGTTCGGCTCGCAAGTCAACTCGCATACAACTCACACAAGTGATTCGCTGCTCGACTTGCTTTCGTAGTCAAGCCAGTTTGGCTCACTAATGGAGCGTGCACCTTGCCTCATTTAACATCCATAATATAACATGGATGTTTTAGTTTCTTTTTCCTCGTGAATTTTATTTTTAACATTATGCTTAGGGGCTGTTTTGGGAAATTTCCTTTTTAAAACCATTTTGAACCACCCGTGTTAGTTGTTTGCTGTTTTTAATAGAGGCCCTTTTTAAATAGCAGTTGGTCTGGCCCAAAAGGCGGTCCAACCTACTGAAGATTCTGGAACTAGTATATATACCATTTTCGTCTTTAGGGTTAGAGATTTCTCAGTTTAGGGCGCAGCTTTCTCTCTCTGTTATTCGACTTTTACGTTTCTCTCTGTAAAATGATCTCTAAATTACTTAAGTGATTTTTAGAGATAGGAGAGTAGATCTATGATCTCTTGTGTGAGTTCATAAGTAATGGGAGAAGCTGGTTGAGTGATTCATTGATGTTTTGAGTCGTATACTGTAAACTCTATTTTTCTGCCGTTTTTGGGCGATTTAGTGGATTTGAGCTTAATCCTTAAACGGATGCTCAACGGGGATGTAAGCGTCTGAAAGGTCGCTGAACCTCGGGGCCTAAGGTCAAAAATTCCTTGTGTTGTGATTCTTGATATTCTGTTTTGTTTTTCTTGTGGTTTTGTTACAAATCGTTTTCTACAAACCTCTCTGGGACCAACAACACGTTTTATGAAACTCATAAATTTTTCCTACAGGTACATTCTCAAAAAAAAATTATTTTTTATTTGAAAAAGCTTTTCTAAACACAAACTTAATATATAAGACAGTAACGGACAAACTCATTGCTATAACAATGACCTTGTATACTATTGCTATGAATTATGTTATACACACTCTAGTGCATGAAAATTTTAAATTCCAAAGTGAGTTTTGAGTATTTGTTACATATTATTCCTACATTAAATTAACGAGTTTAAGATTGAAATGCGACACAATAGAATAGAAATAAAGATCGACAATAGAGTTGTTTCGCGCGGATTATCGAGCCTCCCTAACAATTAAAAGATGGTTCAGATGATTGTTTAAGGAACAAACCTCTAGAAACAAAGTCCCAACGAGGGGTGCTTTATTTATGAAGATTACAATTAGGAAAAAGCAAAACGCCTCCAAGAGGCACAAGCATACAAAGTAATTTAAAAATTGACAATAAGAACTAGACGAAATGAAATTACATAATTCTCTGTTTGAGAATAATTGATTCTGTCCCACCTTCCATGTCTTCTTTTTTCTTTTATACACATTTTCCAGTTTTCCTTGTAAAACTGTTTGGAAACTGCTTGTCGCTCTATAACTACTAACTTGCTTCATAATGGCTGACGTGTCAAGGAATTGTCGTTTTTAAACTGCTGCTATTACTACCCTCTTTTAATTGCTTGCAATCGAGATTCTTGGATTGTGGAGCATGATAAGATTGTTCAATAAATACTTCAATAACCACTGCTTTAAATAACAATAAGACGCTATATTCGCTCTGATCTTGGGTGTTTCAAAGGTTTGGGTGAAAATAGGACCATCGTTCTGAGCGACAATAAGGTACTTCATTCACTCTGATCATAGGCGTCTTGCAGGCTTGAGCGATGATAGTCCTCCGTTTATGGGCCTCCACTATATTTTACAATGGTCTCATTTGGGCCCATCCCTTAAATTCCCTAACTGGGCTTCAATAAATCATTTAGTTGGGCCTCATTTTTGTATGTCAACAATTACCCTCAAATATGGCAAAATTAATATCAAGTATTAATCTTATGACATATTCTTCCTTATATTTTCTGGCAATACTTGAAATCCCTAAAGGGCGGAGAATTCCAACTATTATTTCCGTTTGGCGGTAACCCTTTACATCCTGAAAAGTGTAACACACATAACCTCTATAAACTAAAGGACACACCACTTCATCACGCCATTACACCCACATCTTTACATTGTATCCTTCTCTCTCACTGCTCACTGCACTGCTCATCTTCTTGCTTCTCTACTACGTTTCTTAAACAATCTTCACAAAGGCTGTATTTTGTGTCAACTGGCGATTTCACAAACTCCTTCCGACAACTCCCTTAGTTTCGAGGATTTTCAAAACCCCCTTACTAAGCCGTATATAAATTCAGCATTTCTTTCATCGGCCAACCCTGACCTCCATGAATTTTATTTGGGTCCGTCATTTAATGATGCTGAATCTATTGGGCAAACAGCAGTGGGTCAGGTATTCCCTTGCACTCAAGACCCTCCTTTTCTGAACTCTCTACTGCTGGAGCCGATTCGCGAGAAAGGTATTCGTACATGGCCTAAAACTGATACTTCTTTTCGTATGTGGCATGCACGTATGGTAAATCACGGCCCTACTAAGGCATTTTTGATCATGCTAGGATTTCAAATTTATTAGAACTCGCTCTCGTCCCCCAATTTATGACCCGGTGTTTTTTCCCATTACTTTAAGTTTTTGGTTTTTTGAGTACAATACTTTTATTTTCCCCAATGTCTATTACTTTGAGGGATGTTGGAGCCCTAGTAAACATTCCGCCCTTGAGCGACATCTTTTTTCCTGGCATTTTGGCTATTGCTGCTGCCCCAAAATTTGACAAGAAATTTACTAATTCCTATTCGGGCATGCAAGAAATGTATAATAATTCTAGCGCTGAACGTTCCCATGCTGAGCGTGTGGCCTTTCTATAGGCTTGGCTTTGTAAATACGTGTTTTGTGTGTCCAGCATGAAACCTTCCATGAGTTATTTGCCCATAGCGCATGGCAGGTCTTCTGTTCATCATTCTTAGCCGTCCTTTATAGAGGCATGGCTTCCCTTCAGTTTCAATTGAAGAATTGTGCATCTCCCACTGGTAGTGGGCCTCTTTGACTCGCTCAATTGTGGTTGAGAGCATACTTTCCCCAGCTTGGTGCTCCACCCTCTCTTCATCGAACAATTAGTTGTTATGGGCTCGCTCTTAACCAATTGAGCCATGTAAATATGTCCAATATGGACATTTTCTCATTCTTTACAACCTGAATTCAATTTCTACATTTTTTTCGTTTCCCTGCTCCCTTAATTCCAAACTACGTACAACCTCCTTCCACCATGGATGATGTGAGCACATTCTTGCCCATTTGGGCTCAATTCCTGATTGGGAAAGAACTGTTCCATGATATTTTAACCGGAATAAATGCCAAAGCTAGGGTTGAGATATATGCTACCCAATTTTTTGCTCGTCGGTTTGGTTTTGGCCAGATGTGGCCTACTCCTCCCTGTTTTTCTAAGAGCTTGATAGAGCGTTTTCATACCATAAATAAAACAGAGGCACAAGCCATTGATGCCCGTAATAATCTTTTGACCAAAGGTTTTTCCTTAGCTCATTTCAACCCCACTTTGCTACTCATCCCATTTTTGAACAAATCTGGCCGTCTGTGAAATGTAGGCTATTCACAACCGACGCTAACTGTGATTTCCACCTGTTGGAGCGGCCGAGACTTCCTCTTCTCCTATTCCTGCCATTCCTGTATCTGTCAGGGATCCCGTTTTCCCTCCTAAATCAACACTTGCTCGTGTTAAATGTTCTGCTCTTCCATCTGATTCCCCACTTGCTCAAGCTAGTGTAGCTAAAGATGCTTCTAGCCGCAAACAACCAACTTCAGCTCCACCAGTTTTGCCCGATGATGATGATGATACTCCTCTCATCATCAGGATAAAGGTAATTGAGCTCGTTTAGTCATGAAACAACAATTCTTCATAGGTTAATGTTTTTACCTAAATTTTGCAGAAGAGCTCAACTTCTGCTTCGAAGGCTCTAACTTTAGCACTCCCTACTCCATCGCCTTCTACTGAAGCTGCTTCATCCAAGTTGTCTGATGCAGGGGTTTTTCCTAAAGAAAAAGCCATAGTCCCAGAGTCTTCTCATGCATAGATAACTGGAGAGCTGCCACCTTCCCAGGGCGTTGACCCCCCACATGTTGAACCGGAAGGTAATACATATCTTATGGTCTTTTCCCTTGCTTGTGCTATTGGCCTTCAACTAATTGCTACTTGAATTTTGCAGAGGTTCCCATGGACTTGCCCATTGTGGCAGAGCCTACTCGTCCAAATAAGGGAAAGTCTCTACAAGAGTCAACCAGTGATGTGCCCAACTTCCCAAAGCTGCTGATGAGGTAGCATTTGTTTTATCTTTCATCT